ATTATAAAAGTTGATGGGAGTCTTTCAGATTTTTGTACCAAAATATGGACTGGAGTCAATGATAGTTCTCCAGCAAGGTAAAGGAACCACCATAGACATTGAAGAATTTTGTGTGCGACATGGTGACCAAGTAATTCGTGAGCTTGGTAAGTTTGGAAGGTTTTTTATATGCTTTTTGTAATCGATAAGTTATTTTCACTGCATATCGCATTTCCTTGTTTAGATCGAGTGAAAGTACGTGTTCGACTTGACGATAGCAATGTGCAGCGAAGGCGGATAGCTCTCGATCTTATAGAACCGTCTACCCTCCCAGGCTTGTCTGTAGATTTTGATCTCTCTGAATCAGTGGGTGTTGGAATCTGAAGCTGTAAAAATTCTTTGTTGATATGAAATTGTTTTTGTTATTGTTGCTCAGTAAATCTCAATCCATAGAAGAAATGCGTCTCAACATTCACCATGGCAGCGTCTTTGAGGGAAAAGTATGATGATGGGTCATAATTTATACTCATTATAGTAACGATTCATGGGGAAGGGTCATTGCTTGATTTCATGAAGATTCAGTATCTGGTGGCTTTCATTACTAAAGCCGGCTACAATCTCACGTGTGATGTGGAATCCGCAGATGTCGTAGTGCAGTGCGAAAAAATCTAGTAATATTTATTTTTTTACATCAATATGTTTCTCAAAATCGACAGGGTTAATTTTCACAGTGACTCACAATGGGATTGCACTAACGCAGTATACTGCTAGGGTACAAAACATAAATATATTTTCAAGTTACGACCCTTCTACCGATGATATTTGCAACTTATTCATGAAAGCCGCGATGAAAGTATAGTGAGGGATGCGCACATAGGCGTCATCGCTCCTCAATTTCAAGGTGAAATACGACGAGATGGCGCGGTGTTAACCGCAGACTGTACATGTACAATTGAAAAGAACGAGTTTTGAGCGCCCCTAACGCCAATATGCTGTGTGTGCTACTCGTTGCTGGATTACGGTAGCAAGAACGAGTTTGGCCCTTGCTGCTGCTGCTGTTGGGATGGCGGTTTGTCAGCGGTAGTATGAGCTGTCACGACACTGGCGTTGATACCGTCGATGGTGTAGGCGGTGGCGGCTGCCGGTCGCATCCAATCCATGGCATAGTCGTCTTTGCCCCGGAACCATTCTTTGTGCTTTTGTTCGAAGCC